AAAGGTGTACTCATACTTTTACTGTTTGCACATGGGAAATTAGCTGTCTTTGAAATATAGATGTAAATTGTTGTGATATCTTAACCTTTCATATTCATTTAACTCTCATTATTTGCACTTGACCTATAGATATGGATTGTGGTGATTGATGTGCTTATGTATGTATTTATTATACTAGGCATCTGAGATAGCCAATGAAACAGGAGACAGGGCTGCGTCATACCACCTGGCCAGGCACTATGAGGGCCATGATGATATCAAACAGGCCGTCCACTTCTACACACGAGCCCAGGCCTACAATAATGCAATACGACTTTGTAAGGTAAAGCACTCCACTGTGTACTACTCTGCCCATTCTTAGTTACAAATATCTGTATACTCAACAGACAGGTATTTATGAATCAAGGCTTTTTGCTGGTCATCATATTGGTTGACTGTGTGCCATTTTACACCGACAAAATAATAAAAAAATGTGTATTTGTTTTTAATATGTTCATTCTTTGTTATTCACTCAGTGGGATATGGATGTGTATGTATTGTGTCTAAACAGGAGAATGGTCTGGATGACCAGCTGAGGAACCTGGCTCTGCTCAGTAACCCAGAGGACATGATGGAGGCTGCCTGTTACTACGAAGAGAAAGGCACTCATATGGACCGAGCTGTCGCCCTCTACCATAAGGTCCCTCACAAATGTCTCATTTTTTCTGAATGACTGAGGTTATGTTCTGCATTCTAAATCATTCCACAAGATGGCAGTATTGCACCATATATTCAGACTGAACAATGTTGATGAGTAAAAAAGCGAGGCAACGTTTTTATTTACAGCAGTATTTTTAGTTTAGTTTTATTTTTTTGCTAATTTCTCCACTGTAGGCTGGTTATGTCTCCAAAGCTCTCGAGCTGGCCTTTGCCACCCAACAGTTCTCTGCACTTCAGTTGATTGCTGAGGATCTGAATGAGAACTCTGACCCAGCCCTTCTGGCACGCTGCTCTGACTTCTTCATCACACATTCCCAGTATGATAAGGCTGTGGAGCTACTGGTAGCAGCCAAGAAGGTACCTGTTTGTGACCCATTCTCACATACATGGAAATATCAGGTCATGTATACATACTTATTTGTGTGTGTTTTTTCCTTTTTGTGTGTACATAAACAAAGTACCATCAAGCCCTCGAGCTGTGTGTAACCCAGAACTTAACCATCACAGAGGAGCTGGCAGAGAGAATGACTGTGACTGATTCAAAAGACTTGTCTGAAGAGGCCCGAAAGGAGCTGCTGGAGAGGATAGCTGATTGCTGCATGCGTCAGGGAAATTACCACCTGGCCACCAAGAAATACACACAGGCGGGCAACAAGCCTAAGGTAATACTGTGGTGGGTTTTAAACACTGTATGGAATCACTGCAAGCTTAAATAATCTTGCAGGTATCAGGGGAAAGGACAAGGGATTAATCCTTCTTGTCTGTCAGATTGATGTCATGCAATACACACACACACACACACACACACACAAATACATGCGCATGCAAAGTAAAATATGACTATTAAAAATATTTGAATGTATCTTTTTTTCAAACAGGCCATGAGGGCACTCCTCAAGTCGGGGGACACGGAGAAAATAGTATTCTTTGCCAATGTTTCTCGTCAGAAGGAGCTTTTCATCATGGCTGCCAACTACCTCCAGTCTCTGGACTGGCGGAAAAATCCAGAGATCTTGAAGACAATCATTGGTTTCTACACCAAAGGCAGGGCACCAGACCTGCTTGCTGGCTTCTATGAAGCCTGTGCTCAGGTAGAGCGATACACAATACAAAATATCAGTCCATTTCATGATGCTTATTATTGTTACTTGAATTGTTGAATTGACAAAAAGCAGGTTTTAACAGAAATTGTACTTACTGTACACAGCGTATGATTCTAATTCTGATTCTGCAGTGACCTTTGAAACGAGACAAAAAAATCTTTGTTAGCGCTCATGGTGTTGGGATTCTTTACAATAGCTAAATTGTTGAGACTTAAAGGTGGGGTAAGCTATTCTGGAAAAATCCAATACCATGACAAATACCATGATATTGTGTGACAGAGCAAGTAATTAACGTTAGCTATGTTGTTGGTTAGCAAACTGCTGCCAAAGTAACATGCAGAGAGGCTGAGATGGTTTCCCAGAGCCAGCACAACAGCTCCAGACAGCAATACTCACAACTCTGCTGCTACTATAGCTAACATCACAACAACAGAATATCTTGGCAAACTAGAAAGTAAGTTCAATGTCCATTGGAAAGTATCTAACCGTTTGACACGCAAATCCTGGCTGGAATAACATACAATCATAAATGCTGTGTGGCTCGGTCTGATCCACTTTGTTTCCCATTTACAAAGCCAGGGCTGCAGATGTTGTGACATATAATTAAGGGACGCTTTGAGGAAAAGATATTAAGTTGAATTACTCAATATCAAACAAATTTCATCTTGTTGACCATTGTTAAGGTGGAGATTGATGATTACCAGAACTATGAAAAGGCTCTAGATGCTCTGACTGAGGCTTTCAAGTGCATCTCAAAAGCAAAGGATTCTTCAGCTGGACAACAGGAAGCAAGACTGGCTGACCTGCAGCATAAAATCACCCTAATCAAGAAATTTGTCCTCGCACGCAGGTAAGAATACAACTCAGATTTGTTCACTTTTGTATCTTAATAAGTTCCTCTTTTCTCCTTCCTTCTGGGGGGGGGGTGTCATTATTGTCTTCATTTGAGGTTTTGAGCTTTTGTCCTTGGCATGCAGGTTGTATTCAGAGGATGCTGGTGAGGCGGTGCGGTTATGTGAAGCCTTGCTGGAGGAGCCAGAGTTAGACCCTGCTGTCAGGATTGGAGATGCATTTGGTTTCCTGGTGGAGCACCACTGTCAGCAGGGCAACTTCCAAGTGGTGACTATTATTTTCTAGCTTTTTTATTAGGTGAAATTTCACTGGTAAAAGTAAACATCTACATCCTGTGAAAGACAATTTTAAATGTCAGATTGTCTTAGCTGTCAGATGTCTCTAGATTCATGGCTCTAAACTCAAAAAGTCCATGGACAAACACTCAGCACTTTATCGTCTTTCCATATTTCTTCTCCAGGCCTACCGTAAGCTGGAGGAGCTCCAGAAGCTTTTGCCAGCACAGAACATTCGGTACTACATTAGCCAGTCCAGCCTAGAGGCCCTGCAAAAAGAGATGGGTGTACCCGTGAATCGTGATGACCACAGGCCCAGTGTGAAAGAGGAAGATGAAGTTGAGGAGGACTTAAATGTATCCTGAATAAATCACACTGACGGTTTTTATTTTGTTTAACAATATAATACATTTTCATATATTTGGATTCTTTATTCATATGTATGAAGAATCTGGATTTTCATGCGCATGAATATGCAAAGAGTCTGCACTTTCTCATACCGGGAATGACTGTGGAGTACAGAAACATGGGGTCTGTCAGAGTTACCAACAGAAGTCACATTGATAAAATGAGCACTGTAATTGGTTGTAATAGAAGGCACTTGATTATGACACGAGCACTGTGGAATGAAGACAGATGAGATGGAAAGAGAGAAAGATACCACATAAGGTTATTTAAAAGCTTCCTTACTCATGAAGACAGGAGGAGAAAGGATGTCTCCAGGCTCAAAAAACAATATTTTGACCTGCAAGACATTACAATGCAAATTTCAAGCATGACTCAGGACTAGAGGGGCTTATTGTTGAGCTTTTATATTTTAATAGTCATGTTCACATAGATTTAAATAATCTTTAAACCTAATGCAGAGGTAGTGTGCTTAGATATACACTAGATCTACTCAATTCAACTGAATATTCACATTATTTTGACAAAAATGTGTTAAAAAACACAAATAATCCCTATCATGTATGATCTGCAAAAAAAGGGTAAAAAGTCAATTATTTAATGCAGTTCTTCTATTCTATCTTCCAAACCTGGATACATTTTACAGCTGTATTTTTGTGCCGAATGGTAGAGGTAAATGAATTCAGGTTATTGCCTATGAGCTGAATTTAAGTTTGGCTCTGAGTGTGTGGTTTGTTATAGATTTATCCTCAGATGGAATTCTGTGGTTTACATACATTTGGTACAATGTATTTTTTTATTCAATTGATGTATTGCAAGTGTCCTCTCGGTGTCAAAAGTCACATCTCTGTATATTATTTTTCAGCTATTTTTGATAACATGTGAGTGAATTTCTACTTAGCACACAATATTGTGAATTACTGTGTTTTACATTACAATGCATTGTTCCTATACCTTGTAAAGTTCCTATAATAAAACATTTTTAAAATGAAGTGGCCCTATGGCCTGAAAGGTTTTATTTTTAGTAGTTGTGTTCCTTTTCTTCTTAAAAAATACACTGAGCAGAGCACACATATTTTTTGGTAATGTAATCAAGTTGCATTACTATAATGTTGTGATACCTGGATTATCTTACTGACTACATTTATTAACAGATAATTAGTAATTAAAAGGGATTACCTTTTTAAACTAACCTTCCCAACCCTGGGTGTAGTCTTTTGGCAGCACATTTGAGAGGACAGCAGTTTATCCCAACTAAGGCCACAAGATGGCGCTGCTGTCAACGACATTACTAACCTTTGTAGTTAGTAGCAGTGGCTCTAACACATTCCACAGGTCAGAGGCTGGAGCTCGGCCTTGGTGTTTGTCAGACTGAAATAATCGACTAAATCACATATAAGCAATAATTTAACATCTGTTAGAGGTTCCCATACAGTCTAGTGTTTGTGATACAACTAGGAGAAATACTTCAACAGGATTTAGTTTGAAGTTAGTGGTAGTCAGACACCAGAGGATGGTTGAAATGTTTTTTTTCTGAATTACATTTACACACTGACTTTCATGGTGCTATTCTTTAAATAAATAAATAGATATCTTTAGTATAACATAAACAATGCTAAAAACACACAATGCTAGTGTCCACACCGGTTTTGTTGTAGAGCCATGGCAACATATTGTTGGTGGATACAGAGAGTAAAGATGGAGGATCACCAGCCAACTTCCAATGAACTTCAGGAGGGACTTCAAGCTCTGACAGAAGAAAATGTAAGTAATATACTCTGAAAAAAGGCACATTTTTGGCTAGGTATAGTTACTTGGTTTGGTAAGTAAATTACCTTAAAGGAAATAAACCGTGGACTATTATCTAGTTAACTCAGAAGGGGTTAAAATTGTCCCTGAGATGTAACTTCAAGACAGCCAACACGGGAGACAATTCAAGGGGACAATTTGTCTTTGTTACCTCAATGTAAAGTGTTTATGTTCACCTCACTTTAGTTGCAGCTGCGTGACAAAAATGAACGCCTTTTCACTAAAGTGGGCTACCTGGAGAGCAGACTGGGCCACCTGGCCAGCTCCAGCACTGACCTATCCTGCAGGCTGGTCCAGAGTGAGGAGGAAAAACTGAAGGTAGAGTTGTATTAAGCATATATGAACTATAGGTTCACTGTATCAGTCCTGTATAGAAGCAGATTTGTTTCATCATCTTTCAGATATCTAAGGAGCTTGTGGAGGAGAAAATTCACGTAAATAAGATGAGAGAGCAGTTCGAAGAAGAGACGTTTGAGCTGAAAAACAAGGTGAGGAATCGCTTGAAATGTTGCCTTTATTTGGTCAGGGTCACAATAAGGTAAATGCCCTGTAGAGAACACAACATTAAAATGCTTTTGGTATCAATAAATGTGTAAAAAAGCTGCCCAATTCAACTGAGCATATTTGTAACTTGTTATTTGAACTGAAATAATCATCAGTAATACCAAACATTTCTTGTATCTTGTGGCTTTTTTCCTCAAAATACATATTATTCTACATAAGTGTGATGTATTTTACTGTATGGGGATTAAAGGTCAAGAATTTATTGGTTAACTCTACATCCTGAATCACAGAGGCTATCTGTGCTTCACTTTCCTTCCCCCTGTTAGATACTGAATCAAGTTGGTGTAATAACAGAGCTGGAAATGGAGCGAGAAAAGTTATTCAGGGAACTCCAGGCAGCTGAGGCCCGTCTGAAAGTGGGAGAGAAAAGCGGCCAAGACCTGACAGGGGAGTATGCCACACTGAAGAAGAAGTACCTTGCTCTAGCCGAGGCCCATGATAGAGAGCTGGCCCAGAGTGAAGAGCTTAGTGCTGAGCTGCTGGCGCTGGCCCAGGCCCAGGACGCCCTCCGTAGGCAGCTGGAGGAGCAGCAGCAGAGTGTGAAGACTACCACCAAGGGCCTGCACGGTGAGCTGGACAGGGTGCGGGCCTTGATCAGCCGCATGTCGCATAACAGAGTCAAGGTGAGACAGTGTGTTAATAGACCTTTTTCACAGCAGCCATTTTGACATGACAAAATTGCTGCTTTTTGTCCCATCTCAGCTAACATAAGCAGAACATGTTATTGTATATAATGATTAAGCAACATGTGTCTTGTGAGGAACATATTTCTCACACACAACAGTCCATGCAGCATCATTTACTGCACCTTTGGGTGCAAAAGACTAACATTTCTCACATAATTTACATATGTAGTTATTTATAACGTTCAAAGCCTTTTTGGAGGCCAAAAAGGTAATATTTATAAATCACGTTGATATAATTATAATGGCCATCATTTTATTATATTTATTTTAAATGTTTATTCCAGTTTTATAACATCACTGTATTAACAGCTTGAGGATCTGGCAGCTTTGGAAAAGGAGCAAAAAACTATGAATAAAACTGTAAGTATTTTTGCACAAAACATATAGTATATCTCATTATTAGGAATAGTGGCCAATATATATGTTTTACTAGCATCAGTGTACTATCTAACTACAGTTTGGGTAACTGCTCTCACATAGCTACTTGGAAACCAAGATGACATCAAAGACAAGCTGGAGAAGATGAGGAATAGCTATGAGGAGCAGCAGAGGAAACTGGAGGAGAAAGTGTGAGGAACAGTGGATGTTTGTCGTTTACTCATGCACTAGCTTAATTAAGAAAAAACATGATTATCTTTCCATTTTCAGTCATCAAACAGCCAAACCCATTTAGGATGTATGTCCCAGTGTTCATCCCACGCGCATCTGAACTGTGGTCCCCTCTTTGATTTTTGCTCTGAGCTATGGCTTTATTTAATGTGTGTGTGATGTGGTGTCTTTGCTTGCCCCTGTGTGATGTGGCTGTCTGTGGATTTTGGTCACTACTCTCTTGTGGTTGGGCCTGTTTTTGGTCATCAGGGTGGCAATGGGGAAAGAGCAACAGGAGAACAAGAGAGCGATCCGTAATAGCCAGCAAGAACTCTCTGAGCAGAGAGCGGTGAGTGTGAGCAATCCCATACCGATTTACAGAACATTTCTCAAATGAATTGATGTTAAAGTATTTTTTAGAAGCCAGTTACAGAAGCTACTTGGTGGAATTATGTTTGTGTGATTTCTATCCAAGGCCCTGATGTGCTCTCAGAGCCAAGTGAAGGAGGTAGAAGAAGAGAACTCAAAGCTGCAGCTTCAAATCAAGGAGCTGAATGAACAATACCGTGCCAGGCTTGTGTGCTATTTAAAGGACTTAGCTGTGAGTTGCAGCACTCACACATGCATTTCTGCAAGGTAGGACGATCTCAAATACAACATCCACCCCTGCTGTAACATCCATCTGCATGTCTTTCATTTAGGACTACATTGACGGACATGGAGAAGGTAAAAGCCCTTCTGAGACTTCAGCGATGAGGGCATTTGTAGAAAGCATGCTCCAGGATGTTCGTTCATCCTACAGGGTCAGAGAGGAACAGCTCGCTGCTGCTGCTCGCTCCTATAAGAAGAGGCTTCAGAAGATCACCAAGACCCATCACGCTCTCCTTATTGCGTACAGGTGAGACTTCCTGTTCATTTAAACTTGGGTATGTGTCTTTTCATGTCCTGCTTTTCAGTGTATATACCTCATCCATGGACGTCCTGCTCATGAGCAAATCCCCAGTTAATTCATCATGAGTAAAGGGCCCGTGATGATACACTGTGATCTTTAGGGTTCAGAGGGAGCAGGTCTTGGCCAAACCTGACAGCGGTCTTGACCCTGGACCTCCAGAAGCCCACTTCAGCCTGGAGCCGACCGAGCTCCGAGATGAAACGGAGAAGGAGCTCCAGCACCTTCGCCAGGACAAAGCAAGGCTGGAGGGTCAGCTGCAGATGGCTCAGGAGCAGGTAGCGCAAAAGATAGATGAATGAAGTGGATTCATCTGCCGAATGTTTTTACGTGGTCTGTGGGGATTCTTCTTTGTGTCCATAGTTCCTTTATAAAGCCAAACAGTATTTATTTTGTGAGCAGTGAATAAATGACTTCAAAGTTTGTGTCCTACGGCAACAAAGAACTTTACAGCTGCAGGGGTGGACTGCGGATCAGGTAGCAGCACTAATGGATGTGACATGTTGTTATTAAATCTTAACTGGGTGGTTGGCATGGTCAGTGATGGCTGGTTCTTCCCCTGTGTTTCCAGATTAGTTATATGCTATGGTAAGATAACTGTCTGTTGGCTGTAGCTTCATATTTATCATACACATATGCGAGAGGCATTGATGCTGCTATCAAACTCTTGGCAAGAAAGCAAATTTGGAGTTTTTTTAAACATGTTCAGATATGTGTTTCCGGCTGTGTTGTGGAAGTTGTGTGCCTCCCCCTTCAATGAAGTTTCTATGGGAAAAATAAAGCCCTTAGCATTAAATTGAATGAAAGCCTGACCTTTAGAAAAGAATAAATCAAAAAAGTTTTTTGTTTTTTCAGAGAAAAATATTGCAACTCAGGTTCTGTTTATGTCACACACTTCAAATCTTCATTCATATTGCCTTACTGTTTTACATACATTTATTTGTTTATGGTAAGACCTTCATTCTGACTTTTCTGTTCCAGGTGGCTGTCCTCAAAATGCCTGTTGGAGATTTCAGCCTTCAGGAGTGAGTGTCACGTTTGTATTTTTCCAAAAGACAAATATGGTCAGCTTTGGATTGTGTCACATAAGAATTATTAAAAATGTAATTTTATCAGGCCGTCCAAACTGAAGGAGATATGCGAGGAATCCTGGTCAGACATCAGGAAACAGCTGAGGGAGATGACAGACTCTACGCTGGTAAACATTTGGATTGTCAAATAATACATCCCTCACACAAAAACCTCACCTAAACATATTTTCTGTGATGATAGTGATTTGCAGATTTCCTTTCGTCACACAGGTGGGCTTTGAGAAGGAACGTGCCATCCTCATCACCAGAGCAACAGTGGCAGAGGCGCAGGTGTCGGAGTTGCAGGACTACATTGACAACCACCTGGGCAGGTCAGGAAGTCACTTAATGTGTCCGTCATATAATGTTAACTTTCAGGAGAGTTATATTGAATTTTACCACTTCCTGCAGATATAAAGAGGAGATCTCACATCTCTGCAGACTGCAGGGGATACAGGAGGCGGGGCGCTCCCGAAGTGCTAATTCATCACTCAATTGAGAAAACTGGCCACACAATCTGAACCATAAATTTATTTTATATATCAGCATATATCATATTTGCAATATATTAAAAAATTCCATAGGTTTAACTTACAAAATAAAATCATACAGATTTAAACATTTGTTTCAGTGAAATCATACATGCTCTTTTAGCTGGTTTTATTCAAATTAAAACATTACTTTTCAAGTGGACTAGTTATAAATCTAACTGAATACGTTGTTTTTGACCAGAGAGAGATGTGTATGGTGTGCATTTACGCCATCACTAGGTGGTGCTGCATATACTGATGGTTTTCTCTATGAAAGGCCCCCAAAGAAATCCGGCCTTGAGAAAAAAATGCCTGGAATGTTTGTAAAGCTTATGTCAATTTCACGAGCTCGGGAGAAGAAAGCATGGTGACAATGAGGGGTCACCCTGGTGAGAATAATGTCATTACATGTTACCCAGACACGTACACGCCTGTGAATACTTTCCCTCAATGCCGCGCTGAGAACTGTGGCGCAAACAAGCCAGGCTTTTTCCAGAATGAGGGTTCATATTTATAACCTCAGTGTTGGTGTGAATAGGCATCTATTCCCTTTAAATCCCTTTAACAGTGAAAGGGTCTGCATTTTTTTCTAGTCTGTTTTGGTAGCTGGGTTTCATAGTTTTTAGTAGTGCCATAGCTGACATAGCTTATAAATTGGAAATGACGTTTAAAAGTATTAAGTAGTTTTAAGTAGTTTTATTTCAAAAAAAGATAAAATGTTGTGAAGTATGATACTCTGGGGAATGATGGGAAAAGTAGAGGAGATTGGAAAGAGTCATACGCATGTCACCCCAATCCTCTTTTCAGGGGGTATGCCAGCCGTGGGAGGAGGGGAACAGGGGTGTGAAAGTTTGAGAGGAATGGGAAGTGGGATTTTGTTAGTAATGTATTACACTCTCAGGGCCCTGGGAAAAGGGGTGGGGGGTTGTCAGTTTGGGCCTGTGCCAACATAGTCACTGTGCCAAAGCGCTGGGTGCTGGAGACCACTCCTCTCACCAGCAGATCTGTGGGAAAATCAAAACCAGGTTGTTCTTTGCCGCTCCACCAACAAAGATAGAGAGACCGTGTGGCCTCTGCAAACTTGTACAAATGTAGTTTACTCTGAGTAAACAAAAAGCGAGAAAAGTAGTGGATAAATAGCAGAAACTGTAACATTACAAATGCATAGAGGTTGAAATCTGGTGCACCACAGCTGGTCCCTGAGGCCAAGTGCCAAGTTTTTTCCCCCAACTTAGAGCATTTTGGAGTTCACTTCTTGGACTGTGAACAACTTCTTATTAACCACTATATGTGGTCACTATTATGATGCAAATACTGATCTTAATGATAATTTGATTAGATTCAGTTGGTCTTATAAAGAGAAAAACTTGAAACAATGATTTTGTTAAAATAATATGTTAAAAGGAATGATTGGTTGGTGATCTCTTTTGTTTTTCCAATAAGAAACATCTGTTAAGAGTTCAGTGAAACAACAAAAAGATTGTTGCATTCAATGAGTGAAGTCTTAAATCTAATAATATATTAAAAAAAGAATCTTACTAAACTAAATTATAGACCTTGTCACAACTTCCAATGGCTTCCAATGGTTAAACCCCCATACCACCGTATGTACGGTGCACCGTATGTATGGTGTACGGTGCACCGTATGTACGGTGCACCGTACATACAATACGTACTACAATAAGCAGTATCATTCTCCCATTATAGAAGTCACAGATCAGTGGAATGTAGTTGCATTTAAAACATGAATATGATCATTATTACTTATTTATTTACTATTTAAACATGAATATTTCATTCACAGTGCCGTATAAATCTGAGCTTTGTATTATTTTGCTTTATGATTATCTGCAGAAAAGCACATATTTATAAAATGTTGCTATGTAGTTGCCATTTAATGATGATGAAGATTTTTTATGTCTTGTCTTGATCGAAGTTGCATTTAGTCATTCGGTATAAAGGAATCGACAACATTTTAAACTGAGAGTCAAATTGACTCCTTTTCTTTATCATCAAAACTGAACATTTGCAGCTTCACAAAGATAGCATTTATTTCAGAAATAATACATTGCATTCTGTAATGTTGCACATCTGTAGTAAGGAGTTCATGTTCAGCACTGTCTACCTCAAACACTGAACAGAACAGAACAGAAAACAAAGGGTGAAAGTGAACAGCTTTTTTTAAGATCAGATTCATTGTATTATTCTACTGGCTCACCCCAGGGCTGGGTTCTCTCACTTTTACTTTATATTCTGTACACAAACTTGTGCATGTAAGCATGAGAACAGGAAATCTGGGAAATCTGAAGATGATACAGTCATTGTGAGTCTGCTACACAGCAATGAGCCCAGCCACAACCCAGTCATTGTTGAGTTTGTCCCCTGGTGGGACAAATCTATCTTGGAATTAAACGTAACCAAGAGAAAGGATATAATCATTTAATCTATGAGACTACGATCATTAAAGACCAGGCTGTTGACTGTGAACAAAGCTACATGTACCTTGGGATAGTCATAGACTCTAAATTGACCTTGAGGAAGAATTGTGAGGCAGTGTGTAAAAAGGCACACTGTCCCATTTTCACACTGATAAAACTATTATAACCCCCTTTTATCAGGCTTTTATTGAATCAATGAGTTTATAACCTGTCTCTGAAAAACCAAAATTCTCTAAACCAAATTGTCAAATGGGCTAGTAAGCTTATAGGTGAGTCTCAATTCAACCTATTAGTTCTTTACTCCTCACAGCCAAAGTAAGGCAAGCTCTGTTCTTCAGGATTGCTTCGCTCCGGGCGCTGGTTTGTGGCCACTAGGGGAGAACAAAACAGTAAGAAATGTTTTTGTACCTGCAGCTATTAAACTAAGCTAGTTCGAGATGATGCATATCTTGGCAGAAATAGAATATAATATTCATAGGTATGTTTTAATTAGTGTATAATCACCTGAAAATAAGAATCATTGTGTTTTTGTTACCTTAGAATGAGCGTTTTTATTCCACAAAGTCACAGGTTGCTTTCTGTGGAGCAAACAATGTTGAGCCACCATGTTTCTATGGCAGCCTGGAACAGACAAACCAAACTGGGGCCATTTGCGTATTTCGCGAGTTTCGCAAACACTGTGGTTTCACCTACACACTTGGAAGGTGAGCAGTATTTAGTTGGTTAAATCCTACACACTGGTGCTTTTAATCTTGATGAAAATAAGTGCCATCATTGTATCATTACAGAAGACACAGATCAGTTTGCCTCTGATCCTGTCATAGATGCATTTAAAATATTATTACTTATTTATTGACTATTTATATATTTCGTCATTCAAAATTCTGTCTAAACCTGACCTTCGCATTATTTTGCTTTATGGCTGTCTGTAGTAATATATATGTATATATGCTTTGGGCTGAGATCTGTTTTGTGGCGAGCACAGTGGGAAAGAGGTTGGATGAATGTGTCGTTCTGAGGATGGGAAGCAGGGTGGAGCAATGCAGAGGAAGTACATCACATGGCCTGCGATGGGCCACTCGTCAAGAGGCCCTTTGTTTTAGGAGGTTAATGCCTAATTGATACAGGCTTAATGAGAGCGGGCTGTGTGTGAGCTGGGGGCTGGACGGCCCTGCCATAATTGGAACGGACAAGCCTTGTGTGGAGGAGTGCACTGGGAAGGGATTTATGGGAACGCAAGGAAAGGAGAGGGAGAGTGGGAACAAGGAAGAAAAGGTGACAATGAGTAGGAATGTGGACGCAGTGGGAGAGGAATCTGGTGTGATAGTGAGAGTATTGCACAATCATGAGAAAGAGATGTAATGACAATGGAAAAGTGAGCTTGGAGTTCAACCAGGATGTTCCCATGGATGTTTGGCACATTCAAGTTTTATGGGTTGTTTCTTGAATTCTCCCATGATACTGATAAGAATTGTGGTTCATTTATGTGATGCTGCAGATTAAATTGTATGTGCAATATACCAATGATATGAATAGTGAAATCATTTTTTCTGTTGGATATCAGTTGATGCAAAAATGCCAACATAAACTTTGTAACTGTCTATATGCGGAGACACCTGTCTTTTCCTTTCTGATGAGCTGTCTTTTCGACCCCCTCTTTCAGTCTGACAGTCTCAGACTATTCATGTAAGAGTCCCCAGCTCCCCTTCAGACAAGCTTTCAGTAAGAAGGCTCGAGAGGCATTAAGAAGGAGGAGGGAAAGGGCAGGAGAGGGGAGCACAGAAGAACCGTGCACTTCTGAAAACCTTGAAGAATTACGACTGAAATCTATGGAGATTCTGGGTGGCTAAGAAAGAAGAAAAAAAGAAGAAAAAGAAGAAGCAAATAAAGGGGGTCAGTGTGCATAATTAAAAAGATGCAAGGGGAAAACAATGGGAAATGGATTTTTTTGAAGTGTGGCTTAAACAGAGTGAAAGGTCTAAAATGAGAATGTTGTGGAAAGGCAGAATATAGGGTGAGAAAAGGGAGGAGGAAGAGTTACAGTAAGGGTGAGACGGACAGGGGAGGGAGGCAGCTTCATGAACAAGAGCGAGTGAGAATGAGGCTGGGTGTCGGTGAGGGAAGGAGAAAGGGACAGGCCCTCTGTTTTCCCACACTCGGTCGGTTCCCACAGCGGACCTGGCTAATCCCTGTCTTAATTGGGGGAGAATTCCAGCGCACATGTTCCCCTGGAATGAGCGTAGAGCGAAGGGAGAGGAAGGCTCTGACACATCAGACAGGCCACAGCGGCTGGGCTGATGCACAATGTGTGAGTGCACTTTGTTGGAGTATAAACATGCCGCCTGACTGTCAGCACATCTGATG